ACTCCGTAGGAATGTACAGATAACTAAAATTTATCAAAAAAATGTCTTACACTCTAATCAAGCACACTAGGACTGTTCTTGAAAATCTGCCTATCTATTAGGTTTTCTTAGCCTAAGAAATCACAATTTATTTATCCAAGCTCAAATCACCCTTCTTTTTTCAAATTCAGTGACGCCTTTTAATATTTGAGGAATAGATGATGATGTTTATGAAATGTACAATTATAAAGCATCAATAAAACTATTGGGAAGTCAGGGTAGTCAACGTAAGTCATTTTTCCTTTTTTTTCATGACAAATTATTTTTAAATTTTTTTTTTATTCTTAATATAATTTTAATTCAACTGAAAGCATTATTTATTTTTTATTACATTTGATGAAAATAAAAATAAAAATTTTATCCTCTTCTTAACAAGCAATGTGACGGCTAACTTTTTAATTCAATACAAATGTATAACTCATTTTTCCAATGTCGCGACTAAATCGAACATTAAAATTTTTTAACTTTTTATTCCTTTAACTGCCTTATTTTTATAGTCACAAAAATGTTTCAGATACAAGGTTTTATTAATTTCTCACGGTCTTTTTGGTGTTGAAGCTATGAGCTAAATTATTTAAATATTAACATGCGAGATATCTGTGACATTGGCTTTCTTCTTGGCTGTGTCCTTTTTCAATAATGCGCCAATAATCCTTTATATACAACAAAGCGCTGATAAAATACTNGTAAGTTGTTTATTGATTAAATTAAAACATTAAAAAACCACTCAAACTCATTTAAAAAATTCTCTGAATTCTTTAAAAAGATATTTTCGATGGTGACTAATGTTTTTAAATTTAGGGAAAATAGATACTTAGTATCAAAATAAACAAAATGCTAGCAAAATATGCCCTGAGGATAATACAAAAATGTACATTTTACTTAATCCATTGTCAGTAAATATGCATGAATTGAGATGTTAGTGTATTTTATCTATAAAGTAACAATAAAATAATAAACAATAGAAAAAATTCCCTAAATCATAATCTTTAAATGTTTTTGGCTGATTCAGATGCCAAAAATCATTACTATATTCAAACATTGAATTAAAAAAAAGACTCATTCTTTTTAGCTAATTATGCCATAAATTACTGGAGACGTAAGGATACATTATCGGGAGCTTCGCTGTCTCCTGGGAACAGGAGAGGAGAATTTTTCGAATTAATCATTTTTCCTCGGGATCCTTTTAAATGAAGAGATGTTTGTGATTCTCAGATGCATAAATCACAAAGATTTATTTCGCGGATGAAAGAAATTATAATCTATATGAAAAGTAAATTGGAAAGTATGATGACACACAGTTTTCGTGGTACTTAGTGGCTTGTTTATAATTGTAAAAAGATTGAAGCAAGTTCATTAGTACTATTAAAACGAACTCCACCGTTGTAAAAACATTTTATTAAATTTTGTTATTGCTTACCATTGAAAACAATTTTAGCATTGAAATAACAATTTACGGATCATTTATGATATGAGGTGCTTTTGAAATTTTTTATAAAGTATGCAAAAATTTTTAAAAACTCCTATTATAGATAATTAGAATAATAAATAAACTAAGAGGATGAATTCAGTCAAAAAATACCATACTGCTGAAAGTAAGGATAAACTTGTCAATTGCTTAGTTTTCAGTGAAATATTGCACTTATTATTAATCTACAGATTAAAGAAGTATTTTCACGGAAACATATTTCTTCCCTGAAAAAATATTTATACAAAGGGATAAAATTTGCAAAAAATAAATGAAAAATATGTTTTTAGTGTAAAGATAAATTTGTTAGCAGCATTTACTTTGATCAAACATTGATACTGAATTAAAATATTTTATGTAACAATTACTAAAAATAATAAATGTTCGATTATGATGCAATCTTTACTATTTAAAATATCTTACCATTCAAAATGTCTTTTTAAAATAAACTTATGAAAAATTAAGGTCAGCTATAAAAATATTTTTATGAAAATGGGAAAAGCAAAAAGTATGTATCAATTATGAGCAACCATAACACTTCTGGATAAAATAACCATAAAATGTACTGGATCTCAGGGTCACAGTACTTTTTACAGCAAAATACATTTTTGCCAGATCATGTTAAGGATCAAAAAATTGGATATACTGTGTTTATCAGTAACAGTTACCGTAAAATAACTGAATCATTATAATTTAAAAAATACGACTGTAAAAATAGATTTTACGGTAAAAGGATGATTTTTCTAAGGGCCAGTATTTTGTACCGTCATTTGATATGAACATTTTATACAGTTCATCGTATTTTTTTGTTTTTACAAAGTGTTATTATTATGGTTGTTTACGAACAACGTGCATATTTAAAAAAAACATTTCCCTCTAAAATAATTATTCAATCGTAATACAATTGGATATTGCATAGAGGATTGCTTAAGCATAAAATCTCTTCTCTATATGATACTTCTTTGGTAAATCGAAAATTAAAACTGTATCTTTTCTTTTCAATTTCCACAAATTCTTATGATTGCTGATAATGTTTTATAAATATTTTTATTAAGAATTTATATATCAAACGCTTCTATGGGACTAAGGAAGCTTTTTAAACATTAAGCTGAAAAAAATACCACTGGTAAAACAAAGGAATACACAGTAGGAAAAATGATTTTGAACACACAAAACACATACTTACTTAAATTACATAAAAAAGAAAGTTCATTTTTAAAAAACCACGAGTATTATAACGAATGTAACTTAATATACTATTTTCAAACCTTCAATATTCATTCATTTTACAAATTCATTGTCTTTCATCATGCACGTTGTTCTGCCATTAATTCTGTTGTGAAATGTCTATCTTTAAGAGATAACTAAACATAAGACAGTTGTATTTCTCAAGATGTGTTTGTTAATTACCCAAATAAAGTAACAAGAAGGCAGCACAATCATAGAAAAGGGAATCAATGTAGTAAAATAAAGGAAATATGGAATTTTATTTTCGTATTAAATTTGTTCCATTTTGGGAACAATTGGTTGCAATAGTACTTATATTTCTCAACTGGTTTTTATCCGTTACGCAATTCAAATAGCAAGAAAGCAACACAATCACTAGAAATGGAAATCAATGCAGCAAAGCATTAAAAAATGTCAAAATGTGTATTTTTATTTTCGCATAAAATTTTTTTTCCGTTTCGGGTAGTTTTTTTTCAGTTCCCCAATTCAAATAGCAGGATGGCAAACTCAGTCAATTGAAATGGGAATCCATGCAGTAAAAAATAAGAAACGTGGATTTTTGTTTTCGTATAAAATTTGGTCCATTTCGGGAGCGGATTTTGCAATTGTAGTACTGTAGTTATTACAGTACTTAAAAAATGAACAGCGAAGTTTCCTAAAGCATCTTCTTAATTATTTTAATAATTTTGGAAAAATAAAACACAAATAAAAATATTCATATCTTAAAATAAAAAATAAATAAAAATAAACTTTTTTTTAAATGACAAATGTATGCTAATCCTTAAAAAAATTGCGTAGAATATATCACTTATTTGCAATCAGATTTAATAGTATTAATTACATCTGATTTTTTTGATTTTTTTAAATAAGTTTATTTTTAAACAATATTTTTCAGCTAATTATAATCATCTCACTATTGACAGATTCAAGTACTTGCATTTATTTGAACTGTATATGTACCACCTCTTTAAAGTATCCGGTAACAAATTTGACAAAAAATTAAAGGTAATCGTTAGAAGAAAAATATAACTACGTAGCTGTTTACTATATCAATTGGAGTTTAAAAATAGTTTTAAAGAACATAGACTTATTTACTTTATCGCTACTGTATTTAGCTCTAGTGGGCTCTGAGAAACTGATTGCTTACTCTTCTATGAAACCATCTCATCGTTTTCTCGTTAAAAACAATGGAAAACAATGATAAACAATAATTTTATGATTCTATTGGTATTAAGGACATATGATAAAATTTTGGTTTCTGAAATGTGTAGTTAAAATTCTATTATATATCATGTTTTATTATTAATTGCCATATTTAAATTAGTAAAATGTATTATTCATTAAATAAGAAAAACATATATGAATTTAACTTAAAATCGTGAATAATGATTCTGCTTGATTCAATGTTTCTAATGATTCTAAAGATTCAAGCATACTCTGCTTGATATTTTGAACACGTTACTGCAATTGAAAGTGTTTAAGAAATGCAATGTTTTTCTTACATAAAAAATAAGTATTCAAAAATATTTTGTGCCTAAGCCATGACTGGTATGGAATGGTCTGCAAACAGCCTAATTTACGAACCTGGATAAAATTTGTAAGACATTTTTTTTCTCTATTTTTTAGTTATCACTTTCTCTTTTAAGAACATGAACAAACTCAGTTTTCAATGGCTCAAGCATAGTACCTTACAAAGTTGAATCATATATCGCTCAAATTTGTTGCAATCTTAAGGTGTGCAAAGTTGAATCATATATCGCTATAATTTGTTGCGACCTTCAGACGTGCAAAGTTGAATAACGATATCATTACAATTTGTTGTGACCTTAATATTTACTAAGTTGAATAATGATATCGTCAAAGTTTGCAGAGATCTTAAGATGTGTTAAGTTGAACCAGAATATCACTCAAATGTTTTGCCTCTTTCAGACTAAGTTGAAACATTATATTTTTCAAATTTTTTTAGACCTTAAGATGTGCTTAGTTGATCCATAATAAAGAAATTCGTAAATTTCATTACTCTACACCTTAATCCAAATTGACCATAAGCGTAGTTTAATTTAACATATTATTAATGGTGCAATATGTTTGCACTATTTCATGGTTCAAAGTAACAATATTACAGTTAATCGTTAAACCACTATCTTAGAGAGTGTCGGAAAACATAATATGAATAAAATTATTTAGCACCTGAAGGGGAAGACTGAATTAATATGTATGGAATTTTCTAAAATTATATTAATCATGTTACAGAAACGTAGCTTACCTTTTGGAGTTACGCTGATTAAGATGATGAATAATGTAATTAACACATTTAATGTCAGCTGTGAAAAAAGTCTTGTTGCATGAATAAAAATCATATCCGTTTAGACGTTAGTATCAATTTATAAAGTTGAATAGTATCCTTTGGTTTGATTAATGCATACCAAAAATTTTGAATTATGATGTTTTATTCACAATGAATATTATCAATACCGTTTGTCAGTTCAGTGCTTAAGCACTTGTATTTCATGTATTACGCGACGAACGTTTAATAATCACAGATAGTATCGGTATCTATACATAGAAGATAAATTACTTTCTCCTTTATACTGCCTAAATAATGATTTATTTCCATTTTATCACTAATGTTTTCTTTCCCTCTAATGATAAACGAAGCTGATAAATTACTTTTCTGTTACTTTTACTCCTGTTTCTACGTGATTAAAAATTTACTTTCACCCATTCTTCCAAATGAAATCGAAGTTAAGAAAACATTCTTTTCTCTTTCAGTAATTACATCTCACGGTAGAGAACCAACCGCCCAATATATTTAGAGAATAAAAAAAAAGTAGTTGAGATCAATAAAGAGGAAAGCAAGTTTCTCCAAAAGTTCCGAAGTTTGGAAACTATAACGAGGCACACCACTCCTGAAATTTCCCGGATCCTGGAAACAGACCGTCTTTCCAGGATGAAGCAAGAATCCTAAATGCCGGTGAGAAGGACGGGAAACATGTGAGAGAGTGAGCGCTGTTGTAGCTGAAAGCATCATTGGGAGGAACAACAGGAGCGCCAAAGGTTGAGATGCATTTCTCGATACTTTTTAAAGATGCTGAAAAGACTGTTTGAACAGTTTTGAATGTATTGGTATCGATATTTTATCGATTTTATAAAGATTAATTGGTTTCATTAAGGTTGGTTAAGAATTAATTGATTTTTCAAATGTTCTATTCCTTTAAAGAATATCTTTTAATAAAATATATCTTTAAATACAGGTACGCAGATATTGTAAAATATTAGAATTGATTTTAAATTTTAACAAATTTTACGACTATTTGAGTATACTTTTTTAGATATTAGTTTAAGTTATGAAATGTTTTTAAAAATATATTTATTGGTACTGTGTTTAAAAATTTTCTTTGAAATTATTAAATCAGTTCCATTTTATTTACTTTAACCTAAAATCTAAAATAATTTTTTGTCTCTTTTTATTATCTAACAAAATTCATAATTTAGGTTAACTTTCCCACATGTGGTAGCATTGTATTGCGAAACAATGCATTGATCACAATGTATTGAATTTAGATAACGTTAAGATCTAAAGTATTTCTTTAAGTTAAGAGTAATTTTAAATCTCTTAAGACAATGTGATACAGGAAAATTATCTTGTCACGAGAAAAACTGTAAACGAAAGCATTATTTTTGAAAAGGACATATAAGGAAGTACATTAATTTAGGAAAATATTCTAATTTTAAGTCATATTTTTATATATCGTCCCCCTAGACGAAAGTTCCAAATTGAGTCATTGCTGTATTGCAATCAACTATGATCTAAATATTTTCAACAATTCCTTTAAGAAGAAAATAATTGTAGAAATTATCTCCTTATTAAGCTTGGAATTTCAAATTACATCAGTTAGAAATATATTTATCGAAAGTTGAGAAACTGAGTCCAAGGAAGCTCAGATGCTGAAAATTGTCCCAAAATAAAATAAATAAAAAAAATATATGGAAAATGTCTAAAAACACTTAAAATTGCATTTTGGAATTTAAAATAAGGATCCGCACCCATGGAATATTACGTTATTGTTGATCATCTTCAATAAGGATTGTTACATTTAAATGAATTTTACAGATTTCAGTTCAAATCTTTAATCAGCATTTCCTGGATATAGCTTTACATCATAAATCTTCAGTGGTATTAATTTTTTTTCCTGAAGCATTTAATATTATTTTAAGAACTGTTTAATTTCTTATATAATAAAAGTACAAAAATGATTTAACTATTGTTATAAATTAAAATAAATTTATTTTTTTCATTTAAACTAGTTTCAAAATTATTTAAAAAAATAACTGAAAAAATATTTATGCAAACTTAACATTTATTGTAATTAACGTGCATAATAAAAGTAAGGGAATTCTTATGACAATTATAAAATTTTATCATTTATCTGGGTTTTTTTTAAATTTTTAGTTTTATATTCTGTCCAATTTAATCTTTTTCATGACTAGGGATAATTTAGTTGTCAGAAAAATAAAATAAAAGTTCCTACAACGATGTCATGTATTAATTGAAAAATTTATAGTGATCAACTCCAAATTTTTAATATAATAATAGTTTGACCTTTATGACGTAATTCAACATAAATTTTAATGATTCCACTCTTTTTTAAAATATATTATATTCTCATACATATTGTATTCTGAAGAAAACAAAAGTTCACTTTTGTTTGTTAATAACCATTGACTCTAGCACTTATAATAACAAAAGTAGCACATAATAACAACAGTAAGTATGTAAATCACAAACGAAACTTTTTGGAAATTTTTTTTCCAGATTCCACAGGGAAGCAATGCTAAATATTTTAAAACTAAACTTTTCTGTGTAAAGGAAGCAAGCAATATTTCAACTTTATAGGTCAAGATTAAACAGAAAAATTTATAACATAACAATTTAAACATGCATTTATTGTGTCGTTTAACAAGAAATATCAATTAAACATTACAAAAAGTAAGTTTTTAATGGAGTTTTAAAAGTACTGATTTATCACTTCCCTATTCATACTTAAACTTCAAAAACAATTTAATTATTCATTAGAAATTCATTAACAGATCAACTGTGTTTTTATTGTTTTTCTTTAATTATTATCGAATTATTCAAGCAAATTATTTAACCAAAACTAAATATATCCAGTTCGTGAATAAAGATAACTTTGTTATGCCACCAATACTGAAATACAATGAACCTATTTTGCTATTTGCATAGATATCGGATATCTTTGGAGCGACTAAACTATGCGGACAGGTAATTTGGAACTTTTCTAATATCTGATACAAACATTGTTTTCAAAGTGTATAGCTTCTAAATTTGCATCCTGCTAGAGTTTACAAATTACAGTAAATCTCCATTAACACAATGGATTGGAAAATGTCACACTGTAATTGCTACATTTGTTACCAAATAACTGCAATATTCGTATTTAATACATAAATTTTAAATCAATCTCATTCATTGTTAATGAGTTCGAGTTAACTCCAAATAATGCTTTAATTATATATTTGTGAAGCAAACAACATCCAACCTATGATTGGGCAAATATTTGAAACGCAATGTATTTCCAATCAAATGTTGATAGTCGCATGTGGATGCATGTTAAATTTTGATGAGGCCATGATGAAGATTCTTGAAGGCATGTTGCATTTGAAATTTCGTATCAAAACATGCCTTCTACCAAATATGTTTGGGCAGGAAGAATAATTTCAGATCTATCATTTCAGCAAACATTGCTTACCAAATTAAAGTGTAGCATGATTGGAGGATAATTCCATATAATCAAATATTGGTTCCATGTAAAATTTGTCTGAGTCATCTATCTAGCCATTACAAATATATATATAT